CCTCTCTCCTTTGCTGCTTCTCTTCCTTGACTGGGGGAAGATGACGAGATCATTTGACTCTACTTACTGCCTTGCATCTCTATTTATTTGCTATCATTTCACAGATATCATTGAAAACAAATGTTGGGAGTATTGATTATAAGTTGGTGATGGAATAAATAATTCTTAATCAAGAGAAAATGTATGTCATCGGCACCTCCTGAGATGGTCTGTTAGGACAGTTAAACATTGGACTAGAAATGGATGCTCTCGATTTGGAGTGTCCTCTCTCCAGGGATCACCTCTGGCAGATGAGTCTGCCTTGGGCTTGCCCTACTTCAGCTGTTCTCAAAAGTACCAATATGGCAGCCTGAACCACAAGATAGAGGGGTTCGGGTAGCACCATCTAACTTTACAGTTTCACCAATGTGCAGTCACTAAGACTTGAAAAGGCACTGTTGCTTTCACAGGAGGGGAACTTGGCTCTGACCTAGTTATGGAATTCTTCCAGGGCTTCCCTTTCCTCAATGATTATGGGAGGCCTCTGAGGTGGCTCTTCTCCAAGATCCCTGCTAGCATGGGCGTTAGGTTCTGTCTAGAGAAGGGGTGAGGAGCCCAAAAGAAGTCGGACTCCATATCAGTGGGAGTGCCAGAGGCTTTCCAAGTTGGAGTGAATGCATTCTTGGCTCCCTCTTGTTAATCTTTCTTTTTCTTTCCAGGATTTCCCCATTCTCTTACTCATTTACTGATTTCTTCACTTGCTCTTTTTTATCTAATCCTTTCCCAGCACCTTTGCTTCCAGGGATAAAGAGGAAGGAAAATGATTGGAATAGTGTTAGAAGGAAATGAGGCTGGCATCCCCCCCAAAATCCATTATTTTAAAAATCCTCAGTCTTCACGCACAGAAAAGCTTTCTCTTAGAGAAGTTGCCTCTGAAGACAGCATTTGAGGGCTAATGAAGAGACGTGACCACTGAGAGGCCAAACATCTGAAATTCTAAGTTTGAGTTCAGGCTGTTTGGGAGGAGGTCTCCCATTGCCTCCATCTCTGGAAAAGATCCATCTAAACTGACCCCTTGTTGTCCATTCCCCAGCTCACTGCCTACCAAGAGAAAGGACCTCAAACACGAGGCTGACTATTGTATAATATCTGTAGTTAGAGGCAAGCTGGGCAGGCCCAGATACAGGGGTGGGGCCAGGTGGAGGTGTGGGCCAAGCAGAGGGGCTGAACATACGTCGTCATTGGCCCCTGTCATTCTGGTGACTGGCAGCTGCTCTGTACGTACCTGCCTTCAAGCATATCCCATACCTGCTTAGAATGTTATTTTTCTGGTGCTGTCTTTGAAATCCTGAATAATATCTCCAAATAATCAAACCCATCCATATCATCAAGAACAACATTGCCAGGGATCTGGAGAGCTGGGGGGAGTTTCCTCTGTTTATCTTTACTGAGTGACTGTATACTAGTGTTATATTCAGAAGGATCAAAGGAGCTATTTGTGTTTTTCCTTTTGAAAAATCTCCTGCTATCCATTTACTTTTCGAGTGTGTATGACAAGCAGGCTTTTGTATCGGTAAGTAGATTACAGGTAACTCCTTCCTGTAAGATGCTCTTCTAAGGCTTTGGGATTTGAAAAAGTGCTTTTTCCCCCAAGGAGAGTTGTGTGCTAAATGGCCTTTCATTTTATTAGAATAGCCATTCTTAGTACCAAGTCAGAACTGGAAGAGCTTTCCCTCTCTGAACATAGAGAGGCCCCCTCTTCGAGAAGATGATGGGCACAATGCAGAGGCTGTTGCTGTTGGAACTGGCACAAATCTATGCCCTTAGAATCTGTGACTTTGTGGGTACAGGGCACTGGTCCTTGAGTTCTCTTTATTTGTTCTAAAAATAGTAGGATAGGTAAAGGAATCTAGATGCTTCCTTCCCTAACCCCAACTACATGAGCATGCATTTCACATTGTCATCTCTGTAAAGGGTGGCCCCTTTGTGCATACAAAATCCCTGGCACTACATGTGGTCATTCTTAATACTGGAAGTAGTTTCTTGTCATTTCACATGTCTAATCTCAAAAATCAGGAGTAGGCATTTTTTTTATTAGTGAAACATCATGAGGTACAGTTGTAGACTTACAAACTTTCATGCTTGAGTTTCAGTTATACAATGATCAAGTACCCATCCCTCCACCAGTGCCCATTCTCTACCACCAATGATCCCACAGTAGTGTTTCAGTCTACCTTTTAAAACTGGTTGTCATTCAGAATATATGGAAAAAGGGGAAAGAAAGGAGACAAATAGGAATGATTTTATAGGTTATCCGTAAAATATTTCACCCACATTGTCATTGAACTTCTAACAGTCTGTGAAGTTGGGCCAGGTAGATGGCTCAAAGAACTGGAGCAAATGCTTTATGCACAGGAGTTCTCCCCAGCCCCACTGGGAGTGGCCCCCAAGCACTGTGCCAGGAGTAACCCCTGAGCATTGCTGGCTGTGATCCAAAGATCAAAACAAACAGAAAAGGTGACTTTGGAAGTCTTGTATTCTTCTGGAAGCTATATCCGGTGTTGAATAAGAAATATTCCACCTGGAAGATATTACATTTAAATTGAAATGTCAGTATTTAAGAACCAGAAGCTGGGGAAATATTCACCATAGTAGTAAGAGGAACTTGTTGAGCTAAGTAAGAGTAATGGAATCCACAAACCCTTGTACCATCATTCTCTTCCCCTTCCATTAACTCTGGGACAGGGCATCACCAGGACATGAAAGGAAGCAGGAGAGATGTGAGGCAAAAGGGTGCTGGAGCTGGGATAGGCGAGGGGTAAGAATGGAGTTCTAACATCCTTCACCCCTATTCCTAGGAACCCCCAAATAATGAGATTTCCCCACTACCCATGGGATAAAGTACCTTTGGGTTCGGAATAATTGTGATTCCTCTGTAAGGAATTAGAGAAGCTCGAGGGATCTTTCTTTTTCTGCTCTGGATGGTCTTGTACATGACTAAAAGAGTGTTGAGTGACTTAAATTAATCATTCTTCCCTGAGACTGACAGCAGAAGCCTGTTGCCCCCTGCACTGGGCTACCCCATGCATGGATGGGTCGCCACCAGTAAGAAGATCCTGAGTTGACCACTGTAGCTTATAATGGAATCAAAGAAACTTATTCTAAGAATGATCCCTGCACCATGAACACCATTTTAAATCTTCATCAATATAAGAGCTAAGAAGCTGCATTTTCAGTGTTGATTTTGAATCACATTCCCATGGGAAGATTCCATTATCTGATGAAATCGGCACTTGAAGGACTTTTGCTCCTTCAGTTTTTCTTTTGTATTTCTGGAGTCCTCAGCTTTCTTTTCTTTTCTTTTTTTAAAAGATAAAGTCACCACTTAGCTTAGTTTCCAAGGCTTTTCACGCTGTAGTGTCTGTTAGGTGGTTTTCCTGTTAATGTTTTGACACTTACACAGGTTGTAGGTTTTTAACAGGCCATGGTCAGAGTCCTAGAAATGAAGTGCCATTGGTTCTTGCATTCTTACCATCTTGCCTTCTTTCTCGCATGTGAGTGCTCTGGAGTCACACTTCTATTCTCAAATGAAAGATGTCTTTTATCTTGATCCCATGCCTTGTAAATCTTCATGGCTTCTGGGCTTTGTGGATCTTCAGCTCTTATTCTGTGCATAAATTTAGATTAAAAGATTCCCTTTATGTTATCTTATTTATAGATTTTCACTTTTGCATTAAAACAAACACGTCAAGTAGTATACCACCTTCTTTTGGGTAGGGAAAATTGGAATGGAAACTTCCACCTTGCTGAAGTGCCTGGTGTTTAAATTCACCCTTCAATGAGAATGGCAAGGATAGTAACAGGAAAACTGTGTTTGTTGAAGAGGGTTGAGCGACCTCTGAGTTTCTTCTCACCACCACGCAGTACGCAGTACCTACTGCATGCATTCCCCCAAAGTTTATAATTTTATCATCAGGGGGCATGTTGAGAAAAGGCTGAGCCACCAAACATGCACCCCACAGATGGCTGGGGACCTTAGGGACATGGCTTTCTTCTCCAACACCTTTCTCATGGAACCCCAGATGTTCCATAAATCACTTTGTTGCTCAGATTTCTTTTGCTATAAAGCGAAATAATAAGAATTGTCAAGTTTAACCACATGGAATTGCCATTCATATGGTCATCTATGGTAGAATAAGAGTGATTTCTAATAATAATCAACCTAATAATGTGCTCTGCTTTTATTTGTTTATTTTTGCTTTTGGCATCACACCCAACCATGCACAAGGCTTACTCCTGGCTCTGCACTCAGGAATTACTCCTGTTGGTGCTCAGGGGATCATATGGGATGCCTGAGATCGAAGCCTAGTCAGCCGTGTGCAAGGCAAACTCCCTACCTGTTGTACTATCGCTCCAGCCCTGCTCTGCTTTTAGAGTCAAGTTTGGAAGTGGATGTTTTGTCACTGTGGAGTCACTTTGGATGGAAACTTCAACTTTTTCGTATAAAAAACCTGCTCTACCCCACCTCTTCCCTTCCCTTCTTTCTGTGGGTCAGAGAAATAAGAAACAAAGTCCATCTATGTGGAGAAATGCACTGATTTGGGCATTAATGAAAAAGGAGCAGAAAGTCGTTTGGTCCTTGTGATGGAAGTTGTGGGGTTTTTTCTAAAAATTATAAATGGGTGTTATGAAAAATGCTTTGAAACCTTAAATGGGGTATTTGCTATAAATTATAGAAGAGCAGCAGAAGAATAAATGTGATCAAGCTGAGAAAGAAGAAAACTTAAAATAAAAAATGAGGACCATACCTTCATTTGAGTGCTAATCCAGCCCTCAGTGTATATATAGGGAAATTGAAGTCTTGCTAAAGGCAGAGTGGACTAATTCGTAGCCATTAATGTGTGCTTAACTCTATTGCCCAAGGATTTTATTAAACATGGTAGCCAGAGAGACTGACCTTATCATTTTTTTCTTTTTCCTTTTTTGGGTTGGATCTTTGCTCATATCACAAAAATGAATAGAGCTGACAATTTACTGGATCATCAATGAAATGAATGAATTCCTATTAAATTATGAAGATATAAAGAGGAAATCTGACGCTAACATTATTACAGTTTGAAAGGTAAGCTGTTCCCTTTAGAATCAGGAAGTATTCCTATCTGTGTAAAGCCAGCATGCCGTAATGTCATCATGTTTGCCCCTGCCCCTCTGACTGTCACTGTGCTCCTGGAAAATATTCCAATAGCTATGCACATGGGGAGGTGTCCATGCTCTCCTTATGCTGGCCTTAAGGTAGCAAGACCCATTTCTTCCTGCTTTCAGAGTTATTTATTTGGGGTAGAGGGGGTGCTCTGCTGAGGAATTGGACTTCACTGCTGCGTGTTGCATTGACCCTGAGGTGCCTTGTTTGAAAGGGGTGGCTCGTGTTTATTGATTGGTTGTATTGAACATTAAGTCAAGGTTGTTGGGGTGAGACTGTTTCTTGATCCCTGTCTTTTGGGGATGCACAAGCCTGTGCTATGACTAATATGGGAAGGTGGGAAACCTCTTTCGATGCCACCGTGTCTGAAATTCCTAGATGCAAACTGTGCATCAGCCACGGGATGCATGAGGGTGTTCCTTGGAAGTGTATCTGGATGTTGAGTCCTCTTTGCTCAGATTTGGAAGAAAAACCGTGCCCTCTCTCCTTTTCAGTGGATCTTTTAGATTTTTCACTGGAATCTTGATCCACTTGTAATGACTGTCAGTAAGGACAGTTGTGGGGAGCCCTGGAGATAGTCTCATTTCAAGATAGTTCTTCAGGATGTGTTTCAAGGAAGCTCACACACTGGTTTCCAACTCAGGGGAAGACACCATCCACCACCCTGAGAATTGATAGTTCCAAGGCAGGTTGAGGGATTTTTCCTGTGAGCAGGATGCCAGCAGGTGTCCTGCATAGAGCAGGAGCGTTGAAACTCATTGTGGCCATCCTGAATGGTCCCGCTTCCCTGCTTCCCTGCCTCTCCTCCTTCCTGCCTCCAAGGTCTGGAGTCAGAGTTTTACAGTGTTTAGCTGACTTCTGTTTCAATGTGGGAAATGGCACTTCAGTGCTTGAATTACCTTTTTCATAGCACCCACATCGCTTCATTCGCACACTTAGAACAATTTAGGCAATGAGAGAAGATATTCTGTGTGTGAAGTGGATTGAAAGCCTGGTATTCTCTCTACTCCTCTAGCTCAAACTACCAGAAAAGAGAGTTCTGGCTCAAATCATCCTGCTTCATGATTCTAGGGGATCATCTGTGCACCATCCATTCAGTTTAATTGTTGGTGAGACTTAAATGGGGGGGCTGTTACCGACTGCAGGTGTACCCTGCTTTAATAAAATTGGGATATGCTTCAACTTTACACTTTTTCTACTACAGCTGCACTAAGGGTGATCATTTGTACTAAAAATAGTGTGGCTTTCTACAATAACTTATCACAAGATCCCTTTAAATAACCAACTGTCTTAGAGCATTTATTTAAAATATGATTTGATTGCAAAAACCGATGTCTAGTCAACTTTTCAAGAACACTTCTTTGCTTTGTAATATGAGACTGGTGAAAGGGGGGAAATAACAAGCGACAAGAAATGGGGGTATTAATTGAGCCAAAGAGGAATTAATTTTAATTGAGAAAAGAATTAGCTTTGCTGAAGTTTTCCAGGGAAAATGCCTTTACCTTTATCACCTCCAAAGTACAAAAGGGGTGGGGGGAGAAATCCAACCCCAAACAGGCAAATCTGAGCCTGGAAGAGATAAATCTATTTCTTCAGTGTGTTGCACTCTGCATTATGCATGGGCGTAAAAGTGAGGTTTGCTTTGATCCTGACTATTAAAAGTTTATTTTTAAACTCAGACTGGGCTGGGATCCAGCGATGTGCTCCCAGCCCACCCCCAGCCCTGCAACATTTGCTGGTTCCAGGGCCCCAGCCTGGCAGCAGGCAGCACAGTGGCAGGAAGTGGTAGAGGAGTGTGGACAGTGGATGAGGGCTGAGCTTTGGGTTTTACCCCCCTTCTTCCCCTCCATTTTTGAAATTCAAATTGAATGCAATTTTCAGCTCATTTGAGCCAGAATATACTGTTTGCTGAGCTTCAGTAGCTCTTAAATCCAGACTCACAGGAGAAAACAGATATCATCTGTCAGTGAGGGTGGGAGAGAGAAGGCGCCTGAATTTTATTCATGGAAGGCAGAGCTCTGGTAGGTAACTAATTCAAACCTTTTTGACTAATCGACTCATCATTCGTTGGCAAACATATCAACTAATCAATGAAACCTTAAGACTCCCATCTTCGGAAGTCTAGGAATCATTTCCTCCTCTCTGAAAAATAAATATTCAAGTCTATTTTTGTGCCTTGTGTGTTTTAATGCCTTTTAAAAAAATTTCTGGGTGTTTTTTTTTTTCTGCAATTGGAGACAGAATATCATGACTATCTTTTGTTTCTCCCTTTCCTGACTTTTTTTAAATTGCTTTCCTCTGTAATGTCTTTGTCAATGCTCTTTATTTATGATAGAGGATTAGCAGAAAGATTTCTGGGATGTCACTGTGGTCAGGCTTTGGCATGTCTTTCCTAACCAGAATACCTGAAACATATTCATTGTTGTTAGCGCAGATGGAATCACCAGTGAATGATCCTACAGTCCTTGAATCTGCAAATGAGTCTTCTATCTTGCAATTGCCTCTCAGGACACTCTGACCACTGGGCATGGCTCAGGGAACCTAAGTATCATGAAACCAGTGACCCCACTTCTGATTCCAGAAAGACTGTGGAATGTCAGTCCTGAGTGGGGGAAAGGGGGTGGGCTGAGGGGAGAGGAGAGGTGATGGTGGTAGTTTTATGCTTTCCCAGAAGTGCTCATCTTTTCACAAAGCCAAAATTTCCGTGGGAATGAACATGAAGGACCTTAGGTTTCTCCTGTATCTATCTATTTATCTCTGATTTTTAAATCAAAGTCTAGGAGGGACAAATTAATTATGATTTTACTTCAAAGTAAGTAAGAGTAAGATATTTGGTCCCTAAATACATTCCTTTCTAGTGACATACTCGATAATAACAGTCACACAGAGTTTACAGTGTCTATAAGTAAGTTCCTGACCAGGCCATGTTTACTTTCACTCCTGGGTGTGTATGGTGTGTGTGTGTGTGTGTATGTGTATGCAAGTGCGCACGTGTGTGTGTGATTGTGTTTACATGCCTCCCAGGTTTCCAAGTATGTGATTAAAGGAATTTCCAGTTCTTTTATACATTAACGAAGAAGTCAACCATGCTATCCTCTTAGTGGAGTGGTACTTGGGCCTTCTGTTCCAAGTAGATGATATTTATTTCACTTCCTTAATAAGAAGTAATTTCCAGATGTATTGACCTGTTTTTTCACTCTTACTCCTCAGTACAATTACCAGGGCTAATTGTTGCTTCTTTGCCATAACTATCTGAAACCAAAAGTCTACCTTGACAAGGAATGTGTTCTCTTAAGCTGATTGGTGGATTAGTTAATAGAATTTAGATTTTTTAATTGAAATATTTGATTTCTTCAAGTAACTGGCAATTACCATGAGCTCAGTCTATACCAGATGGTCATTGTGCAGTGGGTAATGATTGAGTGGCTCTCCAAGTTCAGGGGAGTGGGTGTTGGAGGGAAACTGACATAGTGGGCCTCTAACCTTGAGGAGCTGAATATTGGAGAGCAGTGAAAAGAGTGGGTCTCTAACCGCAGGGACTAGATATTGGAAAGCAGCTAACAGAGTGGGTCTTTAATCTCAAGGACTAGATATTGGAGAGCAGCTAACAGAGTGGGTATCTAACCTCAACAAGATGCAGACTGTTGACTGCATTGTTAAGAGTGTGGTAGTTCTCAAGCCAACACCTGCAATCCTGAGCAAGGCAAAGAGTAGCAGGATGTTCTCTCCCTGCAGGACAGGGCTTCCTGAAAACAAGGAGCGGCCCGTCGAGGGAAAGATGCTCCCGAGTTTCCTCAGGGCACTTTCAGGACAGCAATAAGTGGCTATTCTTAATTATTATATGAGCCCACTTATATGGAATATTATTAACAAATTAAATGATAGAAAGTTGCAATAAATCAGTTCGATTTCAGAGAATATGGATGGCTGATAGTGCAGGAGCTAAGGCCTTGCATCTTACCAACCCCTTCTGATCCCTGAGCACCACCAGGGGTCACTCTTGACCACAGGTGTGGCCCCAAAACCCAAAAAGAAAAAAAAACGAAATAAAAATGAAAAGAGAGTGGATCAATGCTCCAAGCAGATCCTTTCCTAATTCTTCTTTTCCCAATGAAGAGCTCGGGGCCCTGCATGGAGAGTCACTCTGTCCTCCTTTCCTGTGGAAGCACTAGCTCTCAGCTGCTACTGCCCAGCTCTTCCCAGCTTCTCATTCCAATTGTCTTGAAGTTTATTGAGCTCTGCTGAGGTGGGAATGTTTATACCCCAGAGAATCTGTTATCTTAGTGACATATTACTAGATATTGGGCAATAATAAAAAATGGGTATTTTTTTCCTGTTCAATCTGAGAACCAATTCTTAAAATTGGCCAGAAAACACTGAGGATGTGGGGTGTGGGGTGGTCATCGAAGGGGATCGGGAGTGGACTAAGAACTGGAAAGTTCTGGAAAGTTCCTTTGTGAATGAAAAAAATGACAGAAGTGGGAATTACCAAAGAGGATTTTCATCTGAATGAAGAGTCAGTCAGCAAGGATGATGGATTCATCAAATATAATGGATATTTAGTTTAATTTTTTTTTGGCAGGAATTTAAGTGCCCCAACTGACTCACACTTGTAGGCACCACTGGGACTTTTTCATACTTTGGGGGTTGGAATTTGGGCAACACCTGGTTGTTCTTTGGCCTTACTCCTGATTGATACTCAGGGGCCATTCCTAATGGGACTTGGGACTATAAGGTGCCCGGTATTAAACCCAGGTCAGCTGCATTCAAGGTCACTACCCTACTCATTGGACTATGGCTCCAACATCTGAGATGACATGTTGGGAGGAAGGGAGCCAGTGCGCCCAGTGCAATTTCAGAGTTGTGACCCTTTCATTCATCTGCCCAACACCAGGTTTCCCAGAGCACACTAACTGCTTAGT